GGTTTCCACACTGGTTTCTACACTGGTTTCTGGTTTCCACACTGGTTTCCACACTGGTTTCTACATTGGTTTCTGGTTTCCACACTGGTTTCTACACTGGTTTCTGGTTTCCACACTGGTTTTATCTCCTCTTTGTTCCGAACTCCTCCCAAAGACCATGTGCACTTTTACAGCCCATAAAACAAGCGCGCAGCACTTCAAACACACTTTAATTGTGGAACACCTGGTTTTCATTCATCACCATCAGTAGAACTATAGAGCTGATGGTACAGGCGCTGGTCCAAGACATGTTTGGGAAAAGATTTAGCCACAATAACACAATCTGACACTGGTATTCTAACCATGTGTATCAACACAATCTGACACTGGTATTCTAACCATGTGTATCAACACAATCTGACACTGGTATTCTAACCATGTGTATCAACACAATCTGACACTGGTATTCTAACCATGTGTATCAACACAATCTGACACTGGTATTCTAACCATGTGTATCAACACAATCTGACACTGGTATTCTAACCATGTGTATCAACACAATCTGACACTGGTATTCTAACCATGTGTATCAACACAATCTGACACTGGTATTCTAACCATGTGTATCAACACAATCTGACACTGGTATTCTAACCATGTGTATCAACACAATCTGACACTGGTATTCTAACCATGTGTATCAACACAATCTGACACTGGTATTCTAACCATGTGTATCAACACAATCTGACACTGGTATTCTAACCATGTGTATCAACACAATCTGACACTGGTATTCTAACCATGTGTATCAACACAATCTGACACTGGTATTCTAACCATGTGTATCAACACAATCTGACACTGGTATTCTAACCATGTGTATCAACACAATCTGACACTGGTATTCTAACCATGTGTATCAACACAATCTGACACTGGTATTCTAACCATGTGTATCAACACAATCTGACACTGGTATTCTAACCATGTGTATCAACACAATCTGACACTGGTATTCTAACCATGTGTATCAACACAATCTGACACTGGTATTCTAACCATGTGTATCAACACAATCTGACACTGGTATTCTAACCATGTGTATCAACACAATCTGACACTGGTATTCTAACCATGTGTATCAACACAATCTGACACTGGTATTCTAACCATGTGTATCAACACAATCTGACACTGGTATTCTAACCATGTGTATCAACACAATCTGACACTGGTATTCTAACCATGTGTATCAACACAATCTGACACTGGTATTCTAACCATGTGTATCAACACAATCTGACACTGGTATTCTAACCATGTGTATCAACACAATCTGACACTGGTATTCTAACCATGTGTATCAACACAATCTGACACTGGTATTCTAACCATGTGTATCAACACAATCTGACACTGGTATTCTAACCATGTGTATCAACACAATCTGACACTGGTATTCTAACCATGTGTATCAACACAATCTGACACTGGTATTCTAACCATGTGTATCAACACAATCTGACACTGGTATTCTAACCATGTGTATCAACACAATCTGACACTGGTATTCTAACCATGTGTATCAACACAATCTGACACTGGTATTCTAACCATGTGTATCAACACAATCTGACACTGGTATTCTAACCATGTGTATCAACACAATCTGACACTGGTATTCTAACCATGTGTATCAACAACACCTGTGTCTCCAAAGGGTGAGATCAGGGATGTCCCCTCAGAGCCAACATGGTGTGGTTAATTATCCATGATTAAAACATTCAGTTTGGTGTAACACTTGGTGTGAGCTGCTCCTGAGGTTCAGAGACTGACTTGGATCATCCACAGAACCAGCCTGATGTATCGGCTGGTTTCATTTCACCTGGTGGAAACAACCCCTGGTCTCTCCAAGATGTCTGCCTCTGGTCTCTCCAAGATGTCTGCCCCTGGTCTCTCCAAGATGTCTGCCCCTGGTCTCTCCAAGATGTCTGCCTCTGGTCTCTCCAAGATGTCTGCCCCTGGTCTCTCCAAGATGTCTGCCTCTGGTCCCTCCAAGATGTCTGCCTCTGGTCTCTCCAAGATGTCTGCCCCTGGTCTCTCCAAGATGTCTGCCTCTGGTCTCTCCAAGATGTCTGCCTCTGGTCTCTCCAAGATGTCTGCCTCTGGTCTCTCCAAGATGTCTGCCCCTGGTCTCACCAAGATGTCTGCCTCTGGTCCCTCCAAGATGTCTGCCTCTGGTCTCTCCAAGATGTCTGCCCCTGGTCTCTCCAAGATGTCTGCCTCTGGTCTCTCCAAGATGTCTGCCTCTGGTCTCTCCAAGATGTCTGCCTCTGGTCTCTCCAAGATGTCTGCCCCTGGTCTCTCCAAGATGTCTGCCTCTGGTCTCTCCAAGATGTCTGCCTCTGGTCTCTCCAAGATGTCTGCCTCTGGTCTCTCCAAGATGTCTGCCCCTGGTCTCTCCAAGATGTCACGTACTTGAATAAACACACACTGGCTGTATCCGAATGTCCACACTATACCCTATTCACTCACTCACTATATAGTTCGGGACTATATAGCGACTGAGTGAGTGAGTCAGTGCACTCATTCTGTTGGCGATTCGGACAGCTGCACACTATTTTTAGCCGCGGCCCACGTCACACCCCTGTCACATGTCATTGGATCAATATAATTTTATATATAAATAAAAGTATATTAAAATATCAATATTTGTCTAATATACATGTATACAATGTTTTTACAATTTATATTCATATTTATGAATTTTGGTTGACGTCTTTCATATTCCCGCCACCTGACCGGCTCCTCTCACACCGGTGAAATGGCACCTCCACCTGACCGGCTCCTCTAACACCGGTGAAATGGCACCTCCACCTGACCGGCTCCTCTAACACTGGTGAAATGGCACCTCCACCTGACCGGCTCCTCTAACACTGGTGAAATGGCACCTCCACCTGACCGGCTCCTCTAACACCGGTGAAATGGCACCTCCACCTGACCGGCTCCTCTAACACCGGTGAAATGGCACCTCCACCTGACCGGCTCCTCTAACACCGGTGAAATGGCACCTCCACCTGACCGGCTCCTCTAACACCGGTGAAATGGCACCTCCACCTGACCGGCTCCTCTAACACCGGTGAAATGGCACCTCCACCTGACCGGCTCCTCTAACACCGGTGAAATGGCACCTCCACCTGACCGGCTCCTCTAACACCGGTGAAATGGCACCTCCACTGAATTTTGCGGTGTTTTTCATAGAGAAGGCGAAGACAGGCGATGAGGGCGAGGAGGAGAATGGCTCTTCGTTCATTAGCAAGGCGTCGTGTAAGTATTGTATTCGTCCTTTGTCTATATAGCATTAGCACCATCTACTGGGTAAATTATAGTACTTTTGGTGTACTTACTAATTGAAAATACTATAATGAGAACACATTAGTCATATACATTTAGACATATTTCAACAAGAAAACACATTGTATAGACACACTCACTTAAAATGCAAGAACATTAAAATATTTTATTGGTTGAAAGAACACAAAACCATAGCAAGGAAAATGGATTAAGTACTTAAGTACTTTTTCTAAATGAAAAATGAGTACTTAATCATTAAACAATAATAGAATTTGCTTGGCCATGGGGCACAGGGCTTCTGTGATTTTTTTGTGTGTTATTAGGTGCGAGTGATGTAGTGAGGGTTTCTACTTCAGTTGTCTCAGGGCAGCTCCAGCTCCCTGCAACACACAATACATTTGGCAAAATCAATGCCAGGGCACAAAAGAACATGACTTCAGCTATATACTCTTCATTTTTATTTACATTTTTAAATCTCAAAATGAAAAATGAGTACTTATTCCTGTGTCTGCACTCATAACTAAAAGTGCAGATACAGAATTAAAAAATGAATCTAGAAGCATCATATTAAGTTTAAGAGAATTTTTTGTTTTGTTTTAGGGTGAACCACCGGTGTACTGCCGACTGAACCACCATGTACCCCTACTCAGCATGTACTTAAATGGCCAGTCTGACCTTCGCCCCGATTTTCGTCTCACTCGAACCACCATCACCCGTCTGGTTAGCCACCTGAGGAGTGCTCATCACCAGGGCTGGAGCCAGGACATGGAGGTTTTGGTCTTCCTCTTTTGGTTGGCCAGTGGCACCGCGTACCGTGTTGTCGCCAGGGCATTTGACATGCCCCAGTCCACAGTCCACGATGTGATCCACAGGGTGGCCAACCAGATCCTTCAAATGCGTGGCCAAATAATTCATTTCCCTTCCCTGGAGGAACTTCCCCAAGTTGCAGCTGGGTTTCAGTTGCTGGCTGGATCAGCTGCTCTCAATAATGTTGTGGGGAGCATCGACGGCTGCCACATCAGAATAAAGCCCCTTCAAGAGAATGCACAGTGTTATTTTAACAGGAAATTGTTTTATTCTATTCAAATGCAGGCTGTGTGTAATCACCGTGGCTTATTTATTGATTTGTTTGTTGGCTACCCCGGATCTGTGCACGATTCTCGGGTGCTTAAAAACAGCCCCCTCTACGTCCACCGGCTCTATCCCCCAAATGGACACGTCCTCCTTGGTGATGGGGGTTACCCTTGCCTCCGTCAGCCCATCACACTCCTCCCTCCATACAGAGAGCCTGTTCGGAGCCCAGTGGAAGCCCGCTTCAACCGGCACCATGCACGGGCACAATCTGTAATAGAAAGAGCGTTTGACATGATGAAGGCAAGATGGCGATCCATTTTTTTTAAGGCACTGGAAGTCCAACCCACCTTTGCAGTCGAGGTGACTGCCTGTTGCACCATCCTGCACAACATCTGCGTCAGCGATGGTGATCTCTGGGAGCCAGTGGAAGAGGAGCCAGGGCCTGATGATGAGCAGGACCAGCATCAGCAGCACCAGCCTGATCAGCAGTGTGGACAGGGCCTGATGATGAGCAGGACCAGCATCAGCAGCACCAGCCTGATCAGCAGTGTGGACAGGAGCTGTGTGGACGGGAGCTGTGTGGACAGGAGCTGTGTGGACAGGAGCTGTGTGGACAGGAGCTGTGTGGACAGGAGCTGTGTGGACAGGAGCTGCGTGGACAGGAGCAGTGTGGACAGGAGCTGTGTGGACAGGAGCTGTGTGGACAGCTGTGTGGACAGGAGCTGTGTGGACAGGAGCTGTGTGGACAGGAGCTGCGTGGACAGGAGCTGTGTGGACAGGAGCTGTGTGGACAGGAGCTGTGTGGACAGGAGCTGTGTGGACAGGAGCTGTGTGGACAGGAGCTGTGTGGACAGGAGCTGTGTGGACAGGAGCTGTGTGGACAGGAGCTGTGTGGACAGGAGCTGTGTGGACAGGAGCTGTGTGGACAGGAGCTGTGTGGACAGGAGCTGTGTGGACAGGAGCTGTGTGGACAGGAGCTGTGTGGACAGCTGTGTGGACAGCTGTGTGGACAGGAGCTGTGTGGACAGGAGCTGTGTGGACAGGAGCTGTGTGGACAGGAGCTGTGTGGACAGCTGTGTGGACAGCTGTGTGGACAGGAGCTGTGTGGACAGGAGCAGTGTGGACAGGAGCTGTGTGGACAGGAGCTGTGTGGACAGGAGCTGTGTGGACAGCTGTGTGGACAGGAGCTGTGTGGACAGGAGCTGTGTGGACAGGAGCTGTGTGGACAGGAGCTGCGTGGACAGGAGCTGTGTGGACAGGAGCTGTGTGGACAGGAGCTGTGTGGACAGCTGTGTGGACAGCTGTGTGGACAGGAGCTGTGTGGACAGGAGCTGTGGACAGGAGCTGTGTGGACAGGAGCTGTGTGGACAGGAGCTGTGTGGACAGGAGCTGTGTGGACAGGAGCTGTGTGGACAGGAGCTGTGTGGCAGGAGCTGTGTGGACAGGAGCTGTGTGGACAGGAGCTGTGTGGACAGGAGCTGTGTGGACAGGAGCTGTGTGGACAGGAGCTGTGTGGACAGGAGCTGTGTGGACAGGAGCTGTGTGGACAGGAGCTGTGTGGACAGGAGCAGTGTGGACAGGAGCTGTGTGGACAGGAGCTGTGTGGACAGGAGCTGTGTGGACAGGAGCTGTGTGGACAGGAGCTGTGTGGACAGGAGCTGTGTGGACAGGAGCAGTGTGGACAGGAGCTGTGTGGACAGGAGCAGTGTGGACAGGAGCTGTGTGGACAGGAGCTGTGTGGACAGGAGCTGTGTGGACAGGAGCTGTGTGGACAGGAGCTGTGTGGACAGGAGCTGTGTGGACAGGAGCTGTGTGGACAGGAGCTGTGTGGACAGGAGCTGTGTGGACAGGAGCTGTGTGGACAGGAGCTGTGTGGACAGCTGTGGGCGGCACGGTGGCTGAGTGGATAGCACTCTCGCCTCTCAGCAAGAAGGTCCTGGGTTCGAATCCCGGTCGGACCAGGGCCTTTCTGAGTGGAGTTTGCATGTTCTCCCCGTGTCTGCGTAGGTTTCCTCCGGGTACTCCGGTTTCCCCTACCACTAAAAATATGTCCAATAGTTCTGGCATGTGCCTCCTGTACTGGCGACCCCACTCCCATCTCTGTGTGGAGTGAGAGACAAATGCCCAAAAATTAACAATTGTAAACCGCTTTGAGACTCAGATCTGCAGTGAAAAGGCGGTATATAAATTAAAACTTACTTACTTACTTACTGTGTGGACAGCTGTGTGGACAGGAGCTGTGTGGACAGGAGCTGTGTGGACAGCTGTGTGGACAGGAGCTGTGTGGACAGGAGCTGTGTGGACAGGAGCTGTGTGGACAGGAGCTGTGTGGACAGGAGCTGTGTGGACAGGAGCTGTGTGGACAGGAGCTGTGTGGACAGGAGCTGTGTGGACAGGAGCTGTGTGGACAGGAGCTGTGTGGACAGGAGCAGCGTGGACAGGAGCTGTGTGGACAGGAGCTGTGTGGACAGGAGCTGTGTGGACAGGAGCTGTGTGGACAGGAGCTGTGTGGACAGGAGCAGTGTGGACAGGAGCTGTGTGGACAGCTGTGTGGACAGGAGCAGTGTGGACAGGAGCTGTGTGGACAGGAGCTGTGTGGACAGGAGCTGTGTGGACAGGAGCTGTGTGGACAGGAGCTGCGTGGACAGGAGCAGCGGTGGACAGGAGCTGTGTGGACAGGAGCAGTGTGGACAGGAGCTGTGTGGACAGGAGCTGTGTGGACAGGAGCTGTGTGGACAGGAGCTGTGTGGACAGGAGCTGTGTGGACAGGAGCTGTGTGGACAGCTGTGTGGACAGGAGCTGTGTGGACAGGAGCTGTGTGGACAGGAGCTGTGTGGACAGGAGCTGTGTGGACAGGAGCTGTGTGGACAGGAGCTGTGTGGACAGGAGCTGTGTGGACAGGAGCTGTGTGGACAGGAGCTGTGTGGACAGGAGCTGCGTGGACAGGAGCTGTGTGGACAGGAGCTGTGTGGACAGGAGCTGTGTGGACAGGAGCTGTGTGGACAGGAGCTGTGTGGACAGCTGTGTGGACAGCTGTGTGGACAGGAGCTGTGTGGACAGGAGCTGCGTGGACAGGAGCTGTGTGGACAGCTGTGTGGACAGCTGTGTGGACAGGAGCTGTGTGGACAGGAGCTGCGTGGACAGGAGCTGTGTGGACAGCTGTGTGGACAGCTGTGTGGACAGGAGCTGTGTGGACAGGAGCTGCGTGGACAGGAGCTGTGTGGACAGGAGCAGTGTGGACAGGAGCTGTGTGGACAGGAGCTGTGTGGACAGGAGCTGTGTGGACAGGAGCTGTGTGGGACAGGAGCAGTGTGGACAGGAGCTGCGTGGACAGGAGCTGTGTGGACAGGAGCTGTGTGGACAGGAGCTGTGTGGACAGGAGCTGTGTGGACAGGAGCTGTGTGGACAGGAGCTGTGTGGACAGGAGCTGCGTGGACAGGAGCTGTGTGGACAGGAGCTGGTGGACAGGAGCTGTGTGGACAGGAGCTGTGTGGACAGGAGCTGTGTGGACAGGAGCTGTGTGGACAGCTGTGTGGACAGCTGTGTGGACAGGAGCTGTGTGGACAGCTGTGTGGACAGCTGTGTGGACAGGAGCTGTGTGGACAGGAGCTGTGTGGACAGGAGCTGTGTGGACAGGAGCTGCGTGGACAGGAGCTGTGTGGACAGGAGCAGTGTGGACAGGAGCTGTGTGGACAGGAGCTGTGTGGACAGGAGCTGTGTGGACAGGAGCTGTGTGGACAGGAGCTGCGTGGACAGGAGCTGTGTGGACAGGAGCAGTGTGGACAGGAGCTGTGTGGACAGGAGCTGTGTGGACAGCTGTGTGGACAGGAGCTGTGTGGACAGGAGCTGTGTGGACAGGAGCTGTGTGGACAGGAGCTGCGTGGACAGGAGCTGTGTGGACAGGAGCAGTGTGGACAGGAGCTGTGTGGACAGGAGCTGTGTGGACAGGAGCTGTGTGGACAGGAGCTGTGTGGACAGGAGCTGTGTGGACAGGAGCTGTGTGGACAGGAGCTGTGTGGACAGGAGCTGTGTGGACGGATGGCAGCAGCACTTTCCGCCCCAAGGGCCAGGCTACCAGCTCTTCGGGACCACGACTATTAATTAAATGTTTGAATAATCTGTGTTTTGGCCTATTTAAATAAAAACAAAAACAATTGAATATGTAAATATCTAAAAAGAAATTGTTGAATGTATGTATAGTTCTTTACAAATGTCTAGTTGATTAAATTTTTTTTTGTGTAAATAGTGTTCATCATTGTATGTCGATATGCATAGAGTTCAAACTACACTTATCAAAATACATTTTTATTTACAATTTCTCCACTATTCTCTCCAACAAACTCAACAGTCTCTCCTCTCTCTTCTTCCCCTCTCCTCTTCTCGCTTCTCCCTTTCCTCTTCCTTCTTCTCCACCTTCTCCAAAAAACTCCACAAACTCTCCCTTCTCGGCCTCTTGGCTGCCACTCTTTCCTCTTCCTCCTCTGGCTGTACGGGGGCAGGGGGTTGTTCCACAGATGTGGAAACGCCCTCCCCCATGGATGAGGCAATCAGGCAGGGAGGCTGCACAGATGGCCTGCTGCCTATCACCTCATCCATGAGGGAGTACCACTTCCAAGATATGGCGATGGGCTCCCCTCCTTCTGTCCCTGTCCCTGTGCGTGGCTGTCTGAGCTCCTTAAAACAGTGAGTTTTGTATAATAAATGCTTCACAAATTAGCTTCAAAGAAACAAACCTTGTAGGTCTTTTTCAGGTTCTCCCACTTCTTGGCCGCTCTGGCAGGGCTGATCAGGCGGCTCAGCCCCATTTCCTTTATCACTGCCCTAAAGTAACGATACATAAAAACATTTGAATATGAGTAGACGTTTTTTGAATAAGTATTTATTCATAATGGTCATACTCCCATCCAGCCGCCGATGCAAAACGGCGGCCTGAGAACAGACCGCCGTTTTTCATCCGTAGTCGGATGAGCCTCTCCACATCAGTGTCTGTCCCTTTAGAAAAACATTTAACACAATAAATGCTACACGTATAACACAAGTGCTTTAATAACATTAATGACTGACCACCAGTGACCCGTTTCTGTAGCGTTAGCTTGAGATGTTAATGTTATGATATGCCAAAATGCTAACACTTTCGCGGCATAACATTGGTACGTTGTTTCGCAGTAAAAGGCAATGGTATTCTGACTTCAAATGTGTATTTTGGCAGCTTATCGTCAACAATATATCACGGTTTACACATTTACATATTTATGATGATTAAAAACTCACATTTATAGCTCATATCCCGCTCCGCGTCCAGCTCGTCTCTCTGTGCCTCCGCCATTTTACTTCCGTATAGTGACCACTGCTGTTCACTACATTTTCGAGATGCATTGTGGGAAAATTCCAGTGCACTACTTTTTCTCTCTGGACATTCGGACACCCCTACAAAATGGCGTGACCACTGTATAGTGCACTATATAGGGTATAGTGTGGACATTCGGATACAGCCACAGTTTATAATCATAAGGGAGGAGACAGAGCTCTGACTGCAGACGCTGCTCCCTCAGGACCAGAGGAGAGGGAGGAGACAGAGCTCTGACTGCAGACGCTGCTCCCTCAGGACCAGAGGAGAGGGAGGAGACAGAGCTCTGACTGCAGACGCTGCTCCCTCAGGACCAGAGGAGAGGGAGGAGACAGAGCTCTGACTGCAGACGCTGCTCCCTCAGGACCAGAGGAGAGGGAGGAGACAGAGCTCTGACTGCAGACGCTGCTCCCTCAGGACCAGAGGAGAGGGAGGAGACAGAGCTCTGACTGCAGACGCTGCTCCCTCAGGACCAGAGGAGAGGGAGGAGACAGAGCTCTGACTGCAGACGCTGCTCCCTCACAACCAGAGGAGAGAGAGGGGACAGAGCTCTGACTGCAGACGCTGCTCCCTCACGACCAGAGGAGAGAGGGGACAGAGCTCTGACTGCAGACGCTGCTCCCTCAGGACCAGAGGAGAGAGGGGACAGAGCTCTGACTGCAGACACTGCTCCCTCAGGACCAGAGGAGAGAGAGGGGACAGAGCTCTGACTGCAGACGCTGCTCCCTCACGACCAGAGGAGAGAGAGGGGACAGAGCTCTGACTGCAGACGCTGCTCCCTCAGGACCAGAGGAGAGAGGGGACAGAGCTCTGACTGCAGACGCTGCTCCCTCACGACCAGAGGAGAGAGAGGGGACAGAGCTCTGACTGCAGACGCTGCTCCCTCAGGACCAGAGGAGAGAGAGGACAGAGCTCTGACTGCAGACGCTGCTCCCTCAGGACCAGAGGAGAGAGAGGACAGAGCTCTGACTGCAGACGCTGCTCCCTCAGGACCAGAGGAGAGAGAGGACAGAGCTCTGACTGCAGACGCTGCTCCCTCAGGACCAGAGGAGAGAGGGGACAGAGCTCTGACTGCAGACGCTGCTCCCTCAGGACCAGAGGAGAGAGGGGACAGAGCTCTGACTGCAGACGCTGCTCCCTCACGACCAGAGGAGAGAGAGGGGACAGAGCTCTGACTGCAGACGCTGCTCCCTCAGGACCAGAGGAGAGAGAGGACAGAGCTCTGACTGCAGACGCTGCTCCCTCACGACCAGAGGAGAGAGGGGACAGAGCTCTGACTGCAGACGCTGCTCCCTCACGACCAGAGGAGAGAGAGGGGACAGAGCTCTGACTGCTGATGCTGCTCCCTCACGACCAGAGGAGAGAGAGGGGCAGAGCTCTGACTGCAGACGCTGCTCCCTCAGGACCAGAGGAGAGAGAGGACAGAGCTCTGACTGCAGACGCTGCTCCCTCACGACCAGAGGAGAGAGGGGACAGAGCTCTGACTGCAGACGCTGCTCCCTCACGACCAGAGGAGAGAGGGGACAGAGCTCTGACTGCAGACGCTGCTCCCTCACGACCAGAGGAGAGAGAGGGGACAGAGCTCTGACTGCTGATGCTGCTCCCTCACGACCAGAGGAGAGAGAGGGGCAGAGCTCTGACTGCAGACGCTGCTCCCTCAGGACCAGAGGAGAGAGAGGACAGAGCTCTGACTGCAGACGCTGCTCCCTCACGACCAGAGGAGAGAGGGGACAGAGCTCTGACTGCAGACGCTGCTCCCTCACGACCAGAGGAGAGAGGGGACAGAGCTCTGACTGCAGACGCTGCTCCCTCACGACCAGAGGAGAGAGAGGGGACAGAGCTCTGACTGCTGATGCTGCTCCCTCACGACCAGAGGAGAGAGAGGGGCAGAGCTCTGACTGCAGACGCTGCTCCCTCACGACCAGAGGAGAGAGGGGACAGAGCTCTGACTGCAGACACTGCTCCCTCAGGACCAGAGGAGAGAGAGGGGACAGAGCTCTGACTGCAGACGCTGCTCCCTCACGACCAGAGGAGAGAGAGGGGACAGAGCTCTGACTGCAGACGGTAAAATCTAATCAAATTCAACATTTGATTCCTGATTTAAATTGTGAGTTTCTCTGAGATCTTTTAAACGTCTCTGAGTTTGAGGAACATTCTGGTCGTTCCTCTCCTTTGTCCGTGTCCGTGTGGTGTGTCCGAGTGGCGTGTCCGTGTGGCGTGTCTGTGTGGCGTGTCTGTGTGGCGTGTCTGTGTGGCGTGTCTGTGTGGCGTGTCTGTGTGGCGTGTCTGTGTGGCGTGTCCGTGTGGCGTGTCTCTGTGGCGTGTCTCTGTGGCGTGTCCGTGTGGCGTGTCTCTGTGGCGTGTCTCTGTGGCGTGTCCGTGTGGCGTGTCTCTGTGGCGTGTCTGTGTGGCGTGTCTGTGTGGCGTGTCTGTGTGGCGTGTCCGTGTGGCGTGTCTCTGTGGCGTGTCCGTGTGGCGTGTCTCTGTGGCGTGTCTGTGTGGCGTGTCCGTGTGGCGTGTCTCTGTGGCATGTCTCTCTGGCGTGTCTGTGTGGCGTGTCCGTGTGGCGTGTCCGTGTGGCGTGTCTCTGTGGCGTGTCTCTGTGGCGTGTCTGTGTGGCGTGTCTGTGTGGCGTGTCCGTGTGGCGTGTCCGTGTGGCGTGTCTCTGTGGCGTGTCTCTGTGGCGTGTCCGTGTGGCGTGTCCGTGTGGCGTTTCTCTGTGGCGTGTCTCTGTGGCGTGTCCGTGTGGCGTGTCCGTGTGGCGTGTCTGTGTGGCGTGTCCGTGTGGCGTGTCTCTGTGGCGTGTCTGTGTGGCGTGTCCGTGTGGCGTGTCCGTGTGGCGTGTCTCTGTGGCGTGTCTGTGTGGCGTGTCCGTGTGGCGTGTCCGTGTGGCGTGTCTCTGTGGCGTGTCTGTGTGGCGTGTCCGTGTGGCGTGTCTGTGTGGCGTGTCCGTGTGGTGTGTCTGTGTGGCGTGTCCGTGTGGCGTGTCTGTGTGGCGTGTCCGTGTGGCGTGTCTGTGTGGCGTGTCCGTGTGGCGTGTCTGTGTGGCGTGTCCGTGTGGTGTGTCTGTGTGGCGTGGCGTGTCTGTGTGGCGTGTCCGTGTGGCGTGTCTGTGTGGCGTGTCCATGTGGCGTGTCTGTGTGGCGTGTCCGTGTGGCGTGTCTGTGTGGCGTGGCGTGTCTGTGTGGCGTGTCCGTGTGGTGTGTCTGTGTGGCGTGTCTGTGTGGCGTGTCCGTGTGGCGTGTCTGTGTGGCGTGTCCGTGTGGCGTGTCCGTGTGGTGTGTCCGTGTGGCGTGTCTGTGTGGCGTGGCGTGTCTGTGTGGCGTGTCCGTGTGGTGTGTCTGTGTGGCGTGTCCGTGTGGCGTGTCTGTGTGGCGTGTCCGTGTGGCGTGTCTGTGTGGCGTGTCCGTGTGGCGTGTCCGTGTGGTGTGTCCGTGTGGCGTGTCTGTGTGGCGTGTCCGTGTGTGCGTGTCTGTGTGGCGTGTCTCTGTGGCGTGTCTGTGTGGCGTGTCCGTGTGGCGTGTCTGTGTGGCGTGTCTGTGTGGCGTGTCTGTGTGGCGTGTCCGTGTGGCGTGTCCGTGTGGTGTGTCCGTGTGGCGTGTCTGTGTGGCGTGTCTGTGTGGCGTGTCCGTGTGGCGTGTCCGTGTGGCGTGTCCGTGGGCGTGTCCGTGTGGCGTGTCTGTGTGGCGTGTCCGTGTGGCGTGTCCGTGTGGTGTGTCCGTGTGGCGTGTCTCTGTGGCGTGTCCGTGTGGCGTGTCTCTGTGGCGTGTCTCTGTGGCGTGTCTGTGTGGCGTGTCCGTGTGGCGTGTCTCTGTGGCGTGTCCGTGTGGCGTGTCTCTGTGGCGTGTCCGTGTGGCGTGTCTCTGTGGCGTGTCTGTGTGGCGTGTCCGTGTGGCGTGTCTCTGTGGCGTGTCTGTGTGGCGTGTCTCTGTGGCGTGTCCGTGTGGTGTGTCCGTGTGGCGTGTCTCTGTGGCGTGTCTCTGTGGCGTGTCCGTGTGGTGTGTCCGTGTGGCGTGTCCGTGTGGCGTGTCTCTGTGGCGTGTCTGTGTGGCGTGTCTCTGTGGCGTGTCCGTGTGGTGTGTCCGTGTGGCGTGTCCGTGTGGCGTGTCTGTGTGGCGTGTCTCTGTGGCGTGTCTGTGTGGCGTGTCCGTGTGGCGTGTCTGTGTGGCGTGTCCGTGTGGTGTGTCTGTGTGGCGTGTCCGTGTGGCGTGTCTGTGTGGCGTGTCCGTGTGGCGTGTCTGTGTGGCGTGTCCGTGTGGCGTGTCTGTGTGGCGTGTCCGTGTGGTGTGTCTGTGTGGCGTGGCGTGTCTGTGTGGCGTGTCCATGTGGCGTGTCTGTGTGGCGTGTCCGTGTGGCGTGTCTGTGTGGCGTGGCGTGTCTGTGTGGCGTGTCCGTGTGGTGTGTCCGTGTGGCGTGTCTGTGTGGCGTGTCCGTGTGGCGTGTCCGTGTGGTGTGTCCGTGTGGCGTGTCTGTGTGGCGTGGCGTGTCTGTGTGGCGTGGCGTGTCTGTGTGGCGTGTCTGTGTGGCGTGGCGTGTCTGTGTGGCGTGGCGTGTCTGTGTGGCGTGTCCGTGTGGTGTGTCTGTGTGGCGTGTCCGTGTGGCGTGTCTGTGTGGCGTGTCCGTGTGGCGTGTCTGTGTGGCGTGTCCGTGTGGTGTGTCTGTGTGGCGTGTCCGTGTGGCGTGTCTGTGTGGCGTGTCCGTGTGGCGTGTCCGTGTGGCGTGTCTCTGTGGCGTGTCTGTGTGGCGTGTCCGTGTGGCGTGTCTCTGTGGCGTGTCTGTGTGGCGTGTCCGTGTGGCGTGTCTCTGTGGCGTGTCTGTGTGGCGTGTCTCTGTGGCGTGTCCGTGTGGTGTGTCCGTGTGGCGTGTCTCTGTGGCGTGTCTCTGTGGCGTGTCCGTGTGGCGTGTCTCTGTGGCGTGTCTGTGTGGCGTGTCTCTGTGGCGTGTCCGTGTGGTGTGTCCGTGTGGCGTGTCTCCGTGGCGTGTCTCTGTGGCGTGTCCGTGTGGCGTGTCCGTGTGGCGTGTCCGTGTCAGACGCCACATCTGACACAATTCCCTCCATGAGAGAAAGAATCTGGAGAATTCCGAGACGTCAGTGTTTCTCACATTCCACACGAGAAGAAAAGGAAGAAAAGGAGAAAAGGGTCCAGAGAAGTCAGGAATGTGGTCAGAGACAGGAGCGGGACCAGGATGAGAAGGGGACGGGGGAGGGCACTGGGGAGAGGGAGGGGGAGTCAGAGGACGGGGGGTGGGGCTATTCTCAAACCAAGCTGTCAATCATTAATGGCAAATCCTTAAATTATGCTCAGTCCTACATACTTACACAGAGCAGGAGGCCAGTCCCTGTGCTCCTCAGAGTCCCAGCAGGAGGCCAGTCCCTGTGCTCCTCAGAGTCCCAGCAGGAGGCCAGTCCCTGTGCTCCTCAGAGTCCCAGCAGGAGGCCAGTCCCTGTGCTCCTCTGAGTCCCAGCAGGAGGCCAGTCCCTGTGCTCCTCAGAGTCCCAGCAGGAGGCCAGTCCCTGTGCTCCTCTGAGTCCCAGCAGGAGGCCAGTCCCTGTGCTCCTCAGAGTCCCAGCAGGAGGCCAGTCCCTGTGCTCCTCAGAGTCCCAGCAGGAGGCCAGTCCCTGTGCTCCTCAGAGTCCCAGCAGGAGGCCAGTCCCTGTGCTCCTCTGAGTCCCAGCAGGAGGCCAGTCCCTGTGCTCCTCAGAGTCCCAGCAGGAGTCCAGTCCCTGTGCTCCTCAGAGTCCCAGCAGGAGGCCAGTCCCTGTGCTCCTCAGAGTCCCAGCAGGAGTCCAGTCCCTGTGCTCCTCAGAGCATGGACGTCGGAACTATTTTCTGAGAGGGGGGGCGGGTTTTTGTTGGGAGAGTCGAGGGAGAGACTCATACTTGGATTACACTGGATAATAACATACCATCTTAATTGTTAAAAAAAATAAACAATATATATCAAGCAAGTCACTTATCAAACTGAACTTTTTTTTTTTCAATACGCATTCATGCGTCAGTCTCTCCGGTGGCTTCATTGTGTTGTGTAGCCCAGTGACGTGCGGTCAGATGAGGCAGGTAAGGCCTTCACCTAAGATCATAGAAAGAAAAGTAATATAATGGATACAATAATGTTTGGTCACTTTATCAAGTGATTTGTGCTGTGCCTTATTTAATTTATTTATACCTTGAAATCGCAGATTTGACAGAGCGGTGCTGTGAGGCAAGCCTCTCTTGGGAGACGTAAAAAGCAACAGCTCACAGGGAGAGTCCTGTGAGGTGCTATTGAAGTCAATAATTCCCTTTGACTGACGTATCCAAAGTCGATGCAAGAGCGAGACAAGAGATCTTCACGTTTAACATCTGCATTTAATTATCTTTACAATCAGATACAGAATATTCAACAAAAAAAGTGCTCCTAAACTAATATGTCCCTCTCTCTAGCCCTCGGCTGACTGACTGCCAATCTCCTCCCAGCAGTTTCTATCAAAGGGTCCGATGACGTCACAGATCTGGGACTGGTCTGGCCCCTGGTCCTGGTCTGGACCCGGTCTTCCATCTCCACCTGAGCAAACAATGCCCCCCACCACTGGGCGCCTGATTGTGTTGGACTTTTGCCCTCGTCGAGAGTGGGAGAGAGCATTTGTTTATTCTTGGAGTCAATAATTGTCTGGTTTTTGTAAGCTGGTCATCTCTATGATTCCTGAGTGCATATTCCTTTGTCTGATGTGCAGCATTTTGTGAATATTCGTCAGTCCCTCTTTTGACCTATATTAACCAATAGGTCACAATCTTTCAATATTCTCTGGGTGACGGGACTGGGGAGATTCCATCATCCTAGTTCTGGCTCGATATCTGTGAAGAGTTAATACAGGAAGACGAACAACACACAACCACATTGAAACATTCCTTCACTAAACTCTTTGATGACCACTGCTGTCATTCTGATTCTTCTTCAACCTCGTCTGTAATGTATGCACTAAAACTATTCACTATAGTTTAAACTATTCTAATCTATTTACCAATATGTTTGCATCTTTGCTTTTATTGAGCCATATTCTTAAACATATGTTTTTATCTAATAAATCTATCTATACTGTGGTTTGCTGTCATTATCAGTGGCTCTGTGCCATTTCGTGGGGCTTTGGTCATTTTTCCAAATACATTTTGTTGAACCAGGAAGTGCTGTCACTTCCTTCTCTCAAACCGTTTGGGATAAATGTACATCGTTAATCAAATTGGTATTATCCGTACAGGAGCTAATCTATTTTAGCAGGTTTCTCTGGGGTCAGTCCCTATACAACGGTATTTTGATTCTCTAATCTGTTGCTGACAAATTGACAGCTCTTAAAATTCTCAAAACTACCTAAAGATCTACTTTTGTGCTATACCCAAATACATTAAAATGCTTTCAAATGTTTTTGAATCTCTGTTGTTTCTAATCTATCTCATTAATCTATCTCATTAATCTATCTCATTAGCTTTTTGCATTGTCAACATTCACCTATGTTTGAAACAAGTGAATTTGACAGTATCTAATAAAACTGTGCATAAACTGTAATGAACTTCATCTACCTTTGAAGTAAATACTTTTGGACATAATATGAAGGAAATGGTCCTTTTACCGTTTGATATTAGCCTTGGCTAAAAATAATCTCTATTTTTGAAAGCATCTATCTATTTTACACTCTATTGTGACTCCAAATCTTGGTAGTAGTTTGAGCCAAAGCCTATTCCCAATTTGTGAGTTCTGATTGTAACAATAGCATTGGCAATAGACGATTTTTCATTGGCTGGTTCTTGTTCTGCAAATCACTATTCTATGTATTGTATTTCAGACAATTCCAAAAACAACACAGTCGTTCTCCAATATTAAAGACATACATCTAAATCAAGTTGCCTGAAAGGGATTTTAACTATTTTAAAACGTTCTCTACGATTATAAGGCTATGCATTTAATTATTTAATAAACAAAAGCACATTCATGGCTTCTGTCCGCTGCTTATAACTGTTTAAAGAGTTGTCCCAAACTTAATATGTGTAAATACATCAGCTGTTTGTAATAAACAATAACATTTGACCTGTTCTCCAATGGAGCAGCTCAGAGGCTGCGTCAAAAGCAATGTTATATTTGAGCTATTTTTAGATTTAAAATTGTGTTAAAGCCTGTCGTTCTATGTCTGCATTTTAATACTACTCTCTATAAACACATCTGCACTAGTTCCTACAGATGTGGAAAACAGAAACATCTAAAATCTGACTCCATTTGATTCCTTTTTACTTTAGTTATTAGAACAATTTGACCTTATTGATACTTATTTCCACAATAGAACTATTTTGATTATTCACTAGTCTAACTATTACTACTATTGTTTATTCTGACACTTCAACCTATAGCTCCTCGAATCCAATGACATTATAGCTCCAGACTATTTCATTCTATTCTATTATTATCTTATTATTATATGATCTATTATCTTAAAGAGTAGATCTGTTTGATGTTATAAGCGCTATTATTTCTCCTTTTGAATTTGCACAACACTAAATTTAGAATGACCCCCTATGGGACAAATATAGAATTTTATTTCATTTTGGCAACTCCGAAAATTACTTAATAATTTTCCCATTTTGCTTTTTTAGGCTGCCCTTTCTATTATTTATTTGTTCTTGTAAATATATGTTTTACACTTCTTTCTAATGATTTAGAAGGTTAAGGACCATGACCACCTATGACAATAACATTACCATACTCCCCTCTGTTGGTCGTGGTCCAAAGTATAAAACGTCGCATCTGTGTGTGTGTGTGATTACTGTTCCAATCAGATTACTGTTCCAATCATCTTCAGTTACTTCATCCTCCAGGTGGATCGTCATCTGAAAAACAAACATTAGAACACAAGAAACGCCCACTTTCCTCTCTTCGCATTGTGCAGCCTGTCAATCATTCCAATTGGGCAAAAACATAACATCTGCAGTGGACAGGACGGGGTCGTTTGTTGGCAGCAGTGGCAGAGGGCTGTAGCCACGATTTCTGCCTTCCCAATATCGTCCTGGTTTGTCTAGTTTTACACTCCCCTACATGTGAGTTTACTCTAACCTCCGCAAGGCGCTCGTGCCTACCTCCCAAAACGATCAGCTCACTGCGCGTTGGCGGTGCCCGCCTCACTGCGCTCCGGACTACACAGCGCAGGAGGGAGGAGTACTCTCCAGTGCCGTTGCGGCAAGGGATCTCAATCGGCAGGAGTACGTGTCCTGCAGTGTATCTTGCGCAGGAGTACTGTCATCCCAGCAGTCCTTCCTCACTTTTTATCAACCTGTTTCAATAATGCTTGTCATCTTTGAATCTCTGCAGTAACTTAGACTCATCCGTCGATGCGTGTTGAACCAATAAATTCAATTCGTTCGCCATGACCACATGAAAACATTACAGAAAAACTGTTTGTGTTATTTCCAGATGATTCCGTTACAGCACTCCTCCTGGTTCACGTCCCACCTACACAGACTCACAACACACTCACGCACACCCCACAGTTAGTATTGGTCACCAGTGTGTTAAGGTCGAACGTAGGGTACGTTGTGGAGCATGGACGCCCTACCATTCGAACATACACATAACATGATAACATACTCCAACAATATAACATTTACACATACATAGAGGACTACACAAGAGGCCTGTATTTGGTACCTGTGTTGTATATATTTCCCATGTCCACTTACAATTGTCCTCATGCGCTAGCTTTATAGTGTGCAACTTTCAGAGCCGGCAGAACAGGCAAAGCTTTGAGAGAGTTGTCCTAAAAAGGAATCCATGTCCAATAGACCTTTCGTGTTTCAAACACCACGTGGGTCTTTACTCGGGCATTGTTCACAGAAATAAACGGTGTCCCCTTATATTCGGTACTGCGCTCTTGGTAACTTAACAGAACAAAGCATCCATGCACGTGCAATATATCTGTTTTTCCCTTTTTTTTTTTCTAACAGCCCAGTCGGATGCTCCTAAAAAAGGTAAATTAGTTTCAACCTTACGTAGTGTTACTCACCCTTGTAGTACCGTTCATGTTGGAGGGAAAAGACC